TGAAATATCTGATTGAGAAGAACTTGTCCTGATGCATCTACCGGGGCACAAGCAGGAGGCAGACCAGAAGATTTTGAGCCGTCTGTGTACAAAAGATTCCAACCGGTACTCTCCAGTACTTGGGTTTTTTCAGCTATTAGATTCCTGAAGACGTAATTTTGAGTATCTTCTTTCTTGTGCATAGACAGCGAGATGTCAAAAGAGCAGTCTTTCAAAATCCAAGGAGGTTTAACACCAAACGATAGTCAATTGCAGATGGTGGCTTTGGGTTTTCTTCGCAATAACAATCTTCCTCACGTCATCACCGAGAATAGATTTGTTTGAACTAAGGAGCTTGGGGACTATTTTAGCTTTTAACTCATACAGTCTATTTCCTAAAGTTGGGAGACCAGTTTCAATTGTAATATTATTTATGGGCGTCGTTCGAAAAGCATAACAACTTGCTCTGACGGCTTGATGATAGACCGGTTTAAGGATGTTGATATTAGATTTGCAGCTATTGCCATAAATTATCAAAGCATAGTCAATCTTGCTTAACACAAGCATTTTGGTAAGATAAGCAATAGTGTTAATGTGCGCATGGCTTCTCCAAGCAACGTACTGTATGAAATTCACCCTTGTTAAAATAGAATTTTTTAACCGAAGACAGTGCGCTTTCCAACGATGCTTGTTAAATGTTTTATGGAAAGAGTAACCTACATCTTTAATACATCCGCAGTATATTTATCAAAATGTGGAGGTCAAAGAGTGCATTTATTTCAACTGCCCCAAAAACTTTTTCTTACAATACACTTAAGTGCCAGATTTCCTCGTTAAGAGCTTTGGATACTTTTTGTCACACTTCTTCGACCATATTATGTATTTTTAATAATTTCCTTTTGCTTCTTCAGTAAGGGCAAAACATTTAAACCTACGGCATCCATCCATCAAAAACTCGTTATTAGAACATACTTGCAAGGCTTCTCGAGCTGACACGAAGAAAACTCCCTCTGCGGCCTCCTTTTCGTTTGTAATTTTTAACTTCTTGTTAAGAAAGTCTACGCAACGTTCAGTGTGGTGTGATTTTACCTACATTGAAAAACCAAAGTAAAATATCTTTAATCTAGAGGCTATTACAAAATTGTTTTAATTGACATGAAAATGTATCCTCAGGATCTTTATACGCGGACAGCGAACAAGCTGCCACAGCGTGGACGTTACGAGATTAAAGAACGTCACCAATTTCTTATAGATTTCTTGGCGAAACTAAAAGAAAGATAACAGCAATGTAAGAAGAAGAAAAAAATTGTTAATAGAAGAAGTCACATGAGATCGTACAGAAATTTATAGATCGATTATGATTCGTTGAATGTTTCTGAATATCAGAATTTGTTTTTAAATAAAACTTTCTGAAATTCTTAAATACCGTCGAATAGTTATTTTCATACCGAATATTTTGTCGTCGTCGATTGCAAGGATTTCATTTTTACATGCTATATGTGTTTTCGCATGTGTTTCACATGTGCATATGTATATATATATATATATATATATGAATATATGAATGAAAGTAAATAATAACGCTTTCACAGATCTAAAGTTGCCAGAGCATAATTATATTATATTGTTTTTAATCAGATGAAATGACTGAGTCTACGGCCACCTAGTTTTCTTGACTTTAAAAAACATTTACTAAGAGTACGTAAAGTGACGAATCTCCTAGGCTTCCTTTTTCAACCATCCTATTGAATGATTACTTCACCTAAAGACCTTGGATTCTAATAAACTCGGTAAGAAAGCAAACTTTAATTTCGAAATTTCGAAACACATTCATTAAACAAGTTTTAAAATGAAAGGTAAAAAAAATTTTTAACATTCGCTAAACATCTTAAAATAAATACGCATTTATACGTCATGTATATTTCTAGCAAAGCCGTATTATGTTCTCAAGAAATTATAAAATCCGCTAGAAGCCCTTTATTCGATAGGTAGACAAGCAGGCATGTGCACAACAATTTGCATTTTTTCCTTCACAGCTTTATTGTGTGAGCAAGACGAAAAATTGTCAAAAAAAGTGTACACAAAGAGTCGAAAAAAAACATTTTTTTTTTAAATCTTTTCAATTGTCAAAAAAGGGTATACAAAGAGTCAAAAAAAAACCATTTTTTTAAAAATTAAAAAATGGAATCAAATAAAGTCAATAAAAAAGGTGAAGGAAGTCACTCAGTCGCTTTAAAAAAAAGTATGGGTCGATACGAAGATGAAATAATGTCCTTAGAGCATTGCCGGCCTTATGCGCGAACAACAATAACCAATTTTGACAAGCTCGCAAAAATTTACGTCTTGTCATGAATTGTTGTCACTGTCTGCTGCTGAGTTATCGACAAGTGGATATGAATTTCATATCTCTGATGAAGAGTTAATCGAATGTTGCAATAAAGCGGAAGATACGATGAAAGAAGTAAAAAACATAGACGCTCCGGAAGAAAAAGAAACAATTGTGGATATAGTATTTGAGGACTCTCCAGAAGGAGGAGATGACAAAAAAAAACAATTGTCGATATAATATTTGAGGACTTTTCTACATCGCCTTTTAATAGTCCTGTAGTATCACCCGAGAGGAAAGGAATTTGGAACGGTCCCCTTTATATGTACTACGGGAAAAACCCAAGAAAAACTACAGCCGTGAATTTAGAGAAAAGGCAAAATTGGCTCTTTTGTACGATTCTACGCCAGAAAGTAAGTGGCTCTTTATAGGCTTTTTTTAACAACCCTAACTTTGTACATTCTTTTTAGGAAAAGCTTCAGATCGAGGTTCTTACGATATCGAAAAAGAGGACACTTACAATTTTTCAGCTTTGGTGCCATCCAATCAGTTTAAAACTGAGATAAGTAACAATTATGATTGGGATGAATATGACGATGACATTTTTGCTTCCATAAGCAATCAAGAAATCCTACATCAAGACCTGAAGATGAATAATTCATTTTCCATTAATAATTTTGTCCATACGTCTAAGTTCCTAGTAAATAAGCAGATAACCCAGGGTATGATATTCACATTCTATTATGCTTATTATTTTATTATTATTATATTGATTGGCTTTAAAGGTAACCAAAGAAACAAGAGCTTCGTGCTGAGAGAAACTAATGTTGCATTAGGACTGCAAAAAGCTAGCAGAGAACGGCCGGAGTTGGGAGTAGATAAAGACGCAGTTGGCCAGAATGAAATTTTTATTGAAAACGAATCGGAAGAAGTGAGAAGTATAGTGAATCGAGATGAAGTGGGCAAGGTGAATAATCCGGAAAGTTCGCTTGTTTCTGCTGGTATTGAAACAGCGAATGGTAAAAAATCTCCATATCGAAAAAAAGCCAAATATCCGTACAAAATATTCTAAGAGAATTTCAAGACAATTTGCAAGAAACGAATTATGAAACTGAACTAAAAGACATAAAAGCTCGGATGTCGATGAAAAGTATTAAAAGTATGGAGTCCAAGTTTGGAAAAAATATAAACAGCAGTGCGCAAATAGCCAACGAAACAGGCTTTCAAGCGATGTGCGAAAAAGGCAAAGAAGAAAGAATCAACGAATATCCCAGCAGCAGCAAATTGTCAGCAGCTGGTCCAATGCTGTGTCGTAAAAAGTATTTGTTATCATTAAATCCAAAATATAGTTATAGGCCAACCCCCCAACTTTGTGAGACACCGAATAGAAACACACGACAAACCGAGACTATGACACCAGAATTAGGGGAGTTTATTAATAATGCTGTTAAAAAAAGTACACCAGGCGTCAATAGACCAAAGAGGGGGCGGCTCTCGGGCTTAAGACGTACTGGCATTAGTCCAAAGAAATAAATACTACTTTATATTACATTGTGTAAGAGCAACGGAAGTCTTTTTTCAATTCAAAAACGTCTTGATATCTTTTTTCATTTAAATCAGTTTTGCTATTTTTTCGCATTTTATTTAATTAACGACATTTCGATGTATTTTACTTATCCTTGTTTTCTTGTATCTTTTTGCTCTTCAAACACTTATATAGTTATAGCTTTTTTAGTGTTTATTCATATTCATTCCACATAAGAATGCAGTTATTAATAAATAAAAACAAAAAAAATATATACTCATGGAATATTATTCGATTTCAAATTTTTGTGGATTTATCTGCTGTAGTTTATAAATAATGAACAAGGAACGCAATTTTTAACGTCACATTGTAGGCGTGTCCTTCGAACGATATGCGTCATTTTCAATGCCAGCCTCTGCCCAGTAATTCCCAATGCTTCTGCCAGCTTCATTTTTGTGGCCAAGAGACAAACAAAGGTCACATAGAAGGGCAGACAGCCAGCCGGACGTACATAAATCGATTTATAATTAAAAGCTGATCAGGAATGTATACACTCTCAAGTTTCCCTCTTGCAAACGCATCATTCTATGATGGACAGAAAATCACAAATGAGCCTTTCTCTTCGCCTCTCCGTCTGTCCGTTTGTACTTTTGTCCGTCTATCTGCCAGCCCGTCCGTCCAATGTCTGCCCATATAAATTTGTGTTCAAGCTCTAGGTCGCAATAGGCACGGTAAAACTCTACGACCGGTTTTGATTTATCTATAAATTCAATGATATTTGGCCAGCGTATATAACCTTTATCAATAAGTTCCTGAACAGATGTCGGTAATCCTGAGAAATTAGAATCCTAAAAAAAAAAAATTAAAATAAGTACATATTTTTTCATTTTCACATTTTGTTTTATCTCCGTACCACTATCAAAAGAAGTATTTAGGATGGCAATGCTTTTCAATTCTGCTATTTTTTTTTTAATAACTATGTGTTTTCACATATACAATGAAAGCTGATAACGGTTTCTGCAAATTAACAAAAATTTTGCAGACGTGCACTTCTTTCTCTCTTTCATGCAATCGGTCATTTCAATTCTGACCGCGGATAAAATAAAATCGTCAAATAAGAAATAAAAAAGTTCTTTTTTAATATATAAAATTTTTTCAAAAATTAAATGAATAAATGGCCGTTTTAACTGTTACTAATGTAAGTTTTCATATGCCGCATCTACTAAAGGAATTGAATAATTAAATGAAACCTATCTTTCAGCCATGGTCTGATAAGATGTAATAAGTAAGGAATGGTCAATCACGCTTTTCTAGTCTGAAACGCAACGCATTATCAAAACAACTACAACAAGATTAAGTTTTTTTTTTGTGCTTGAAGTGCTTGAAATATAATATATTAGTTTGGGGAAAAAGAAATCCATTATTTTTATATGAACTTCAGGACTTTATTTAACATACTTCGGATTGTCCGATTTGGGTCATATATGCACCTTTTTGTTGTATGATTTGTTGCCATTTTAAAGGTAACTTCAAAATGCCTCTTTCATAGAAGTCCTGGTCTCTATTTGCAAAAAACTCTAGTAGTCGATTTTCACAATCCTCCCTACATTCCAATTTTTTATCATTAAAGAAATTTTGCAATGCAAGAAAAAGATGATAATCGCTTGGTGCCAAGTCCGGACTGTATGGCGGATGCATTAAAACTTCCCAACCAAGCTCCCGAAGTTTCTGGCGAATCGCTGTAGATGTGTGTGGCCTAGCGTTGTCCTGGTGGAACACGACACCTCTCCTGTTGGCCAATTCTGGCCGTTTCTGGTCAATCGCTATCTTCAAACGGTCCAGTTGTTGACAGTAGAGGTCAGAATTTAGCGTTTGGCCATATGGAAGCAACTCATAATAAATAATCCCCTTCCAGTCCCACCAAATGCATGGCAAAACCTTCCTGGCCGTTTGAGGTGCTTCACCGCTCTTTGACCACGATCGTTTTCACACAGGGTTATCGTATGTGATCCATTTCTCATCTCCAGTCACCATCCGTTTAAGAAATGGGTCTGTCTCATTCCGTTTGGCCAAGGCTTCGCAGATAGAAATTCGATCCATCATGTTTTTTTCTGTTAATTGGTGTGGCACCCAAACATCGAGCTTCTTTCTGAATCCAGCTTTGTGTAAATGGTTTAAAACTGTTTTATGGTCGATTTTTAGCTCCTGGGCGATGTTACGACTGCTAACATGCCGGTCAACTTCGATCATTTCTCCGATTTTATCGACATTTTCGACGACCGGCCTACCTGTGCGAGGTGCATCTTTAACATCAAAAATTCCTGAACGGAATCTACGAAACCAAAATTGCACATAATTGGCTGTTACAGTATCGGAACCATAAACACCATTCACAATTTTAGCCGCCTGGCTTGCATTTTCGCCTTTGTCAAAGAAAAACTGTAAAATGTACCGAATTTTCTCTTTGCTCACTTCCATTTTTAACACGCTGTAACTCACAACTGAATGCACCAAACAAAAAACAGCAGAAGAATTTTTTTTACTGCGAAATGTCACCTTTCCAACGAGCATAAATCTGAAATTGTTTGATCGATACTTTACGATAAATCTATCAGTGCAGCCATCTACCGAAAAAATAATGGATTTCTTTTTCCCCAAACTAATATATGACCAGCAAGAGGAAGACCGGTATTTTCACAACAATACGATGGCCTAAATATATGACCAGCAAGACGAAGACCGATTTTCACAGCAAGCCGAGTTAAGGGTGTGAAGTTATATTTAAATATACTTAGCAAAGATACAAACCAAAGAACATTTACAGAGCTCTGTCAGCCATTAACCGAATTCTCTTAAACGAAAATAAACCTGCACGCAACCAAATGGTTGTTTATATATTGAAAATAAACCTACAAGCAACCAAATGGTTGGAAATGAAAAATGTTTGGATTTAGCACAGCAATAATAATAGCAATAATAATACAAAAGATGTGTTTAACTTGTGTTAAAAAGAAAGAATGACGTTACATTAATGGAAGGTTTGATGACCCTAGGATACTTTCTACGATTGAAGCGCAGGACAGTTAACGTTTCGTGGATATGCTTTGTGATTTGGTAATAAATAATTTCGAAGGAGAGATATGTACTGACGAATAACTGTAACAGTGTAACATATGGAATGTTCACGTTCTGCTATTCGCACCATCCATAAAAATCTATTTATATCGTCACCAGAATAACCGATAACACCACCAAATATAACTAAAACATAATGGACGTCCAGCATTGTCATTATTTCATAGGCTTTTTCTTCGGTTGAAGACATACAAACATTGCCGACTTAAAGATTTAATGCGTCACATCGAATGGGCGGCCAATCAAGATCATACCGATGACGATTGCATTCTTGTAGCGATTTTATCACATGGCGAGTTGGGATATATTTACGCAAAAGACACTCAATACAAATTAGATAACATTTGGACTTACTTCACAGCCCGAAATTGTCCCAGCTTAGCAGGGAAACCGAAAATATGAGTTAAATAATGTTATTATGGAATTTTTACATTTTTTCAGTATTTGTATTTTTTATAAATAAAATTGTTACGAAAAGAGGAAATATACTCCGACGATTTTTACAACCATTTGCAAATAAATGTGGTCTTTTTATATATAATTGTTTTAGTTCAAATGATTACTTCGGGTTTGCAAATTATCTATACGCAGGTTACTCAACATGAACAATACTTTTTACATTATATTAAAAATTAAATATTTTTCTTAAAGGATCAAGTGGCTTTTATCCAACATTTGCTATACTATGTCGAAAGAGCTTATCGTACGCCAGGTTAAAAGTAAGGAAACGTTTTATTTTTGGCCACGGTATTACCAAAAATTTAGCTGAATGGACGATAATAGAACCAGATCAAAAGCAGTGTTTTGGTAATTGAAAGAACGATATCCGGTGGTCGGTTGTTGGCGCTGGTCTATCTTACTGTCTAGCACGCATGCGGATATATTTATACAATTTCTTACGTGCCATCGAATTTAATGAAGCTAATGTTAATTCGATCCAAATTCTATTACTAAACCTTTTACTTTGCCATTAAAGTAAAATGTAGAGAATAATAAATTATGTTATGAGTAAATTAAGTTTTTGAAGTGTTTAATTACATTTTGGAGTTTTTGATGAATTTGGCGCAATAACGGGAATTTTACGATCGATTTTTTAAAAACAAACCTTATAGCACACCGAACACAGACATCTGTGGCGGGATTGCCATAGAAACCGTAACCAGAGCGACACATCGGTTGCATTGGGCTTGATTCATGTTTCATTTCTATTTGTGGTTGCCTCTATTCGCTGTAGTTTTTGTCTATTTTGTCTTTTCCAAAGATTTCGCACAAAGTAGCTAATTCAAGTTGGTAGTGTTCTTACGGTATTGGTATTTTTTTAAAATAGTTGTGTTTATAATCACTTAAATAGTCAAGGATTTTGCAAAGTGTAAGCAGAAAATAACTTCAAAATAAACTTTAAAGTGAGTGTTCGGTGATGATGAGGTTCACGATGAAAATGGAATTAATTTTAAAAAAATTTTGTGGATGAACGGTAGGTTAGAGATTTTCTTTCTTGACGGATCAACGATGGAATAGCTTCAGGCTCAACACTCAAATCTAGACAACAATTAGGTATACATGCTGCGCAAGCACCAGTACAAGCGTATTATAATGGCGGCAGCGACGAATACCGAGGCAACATCAGCAGAAATTTATCCATCGGCAATATCGCCCACACTTTCATCGAGCATTAATATTCGCCCAATAGCATCAAAGAGAAAATGTTCGCTAATCTTCCTTAACATTATGGATATCTTTGGTTAATTTTTACATATATATTTATAAGTGGTTTGAGTGAAAGACTTCATGCTGAAAGATAAAGAAAATGACAATTTCTTGGTGAGAATTTTTTAAATCTTTTTTTTAATTGTATCAAAAAACATATTTATTTTCCCTCAAACACAGTCTGAAAAATTGAATTATTTAAATGTGGAAATGCAATGCGTATTTATTAGGACTTGCAAGGCAGTGTCAAAAGGCAAGGCTGCATCTGGCATCTGGCGGTTGAGGAAAAGACAATGCACCGCTGGAAGTGTAACACGTAAAAGGCCAAGTGCATTCGACATAAGCTCTCTTCTGACATTTTGCATAAAAAATGCACATCAGCTTGTAATAAAATACGACAATGATCAAATTTTAAAATGGGAATAAAATATTTTCCTTAGTGTCGTTGAAGGGTTAAGTTCCTTTTACAAGGGCTACTCATTTCGCATGTTTAATTTCGCACACAACCCTCTTTCAAAATGGAAAACAACATAACCGCAAAGAAAGTCGAACCTATGAAAGTCCGCACGCTACTGTGACTGCGCATTCCGCGTCAACACGTTGATCTCTAGAGTTTATCGCTCCAAGGCAAACACCACATTAGTAAACAAATATATCTTGGAAAGGACAAGACATTTTCTGGTCGCGTATAAATGTTGTTTAATACTTTGCTAAATATCTTTACAAAAAGGAAAAAAAGTAATTTATTTCCATTTTTTTTTATAGCGTCCAGTTGGAAATTACCTTCTCAAGTGAATTGGTGACCTGTAATAAACGACAACTCAAACCTCTAGTTTCTAATATTACAATTAAGGAATGACAAGTTGTCCTGCGTTGATAGCACGGCTGGTGCGAAATTTTTTAATTATGGGAACTAATCTGATGAGAATTGATTTGATGGATGGGATTAGAGAACTGCTCCAACTGCTCGTTCACGCTACCCATCACTTCCATTATGTATTTATCTTCTTGCCCAACTTGCTCCATCAATTCCTGAGGGAACATCATATATATTTAAAAATTTTGAATTCGGAAACTCAATGCTTGGTAATTTCGCAAATAACACATTTTCGATTTCTTTATAGCCGCAGTCGACTTTCCAATGCTGAGCATGACTGCAATAAAAAGGCCTGATAGCGAAAATTCTTAATACAGAAAAGAGAGAAAGAGATAGATAGAGATAGATAGATAGAGAGAGAGAAAGAGAGAGAGCGAGCGAGTGAGTAAGAGAGAAAATAGTATTACATTGTTAGGAGCCTACGTACACCGAAGACGAGGATTGTTCGGTATTCTTCCGTCTTCGTAACTTTTTTCAAGTTGAAGTAGCCGCAACCATATAGGATATCCTCGGTCCGAGAATATTTTGCTTTTTCATTTGTGTACACTTCGTCGAAGTGTACCTGTACAACCTTGTCGTGAGGACTTAACCTCCCTAAGACCTCTCTCAGCGCCTCGATGCCTACTAAGTCTTAAACTACTTCAACTTCCTGGTCTTCATCTTCGTTTGCAGCAGGTTCAAGGCATCGATTCTTCTCCCTCCGCACTGCTTCCGCCGACGTTGTTGGTCCTTCATCGAATATCCAACTGGTCGCAGGTTTTCGCTATACGGAACAAATATCTGAAAGACAGCGACATTGAAGTATCCAATGTGGAGCGTGATTCTCACCGCCGCAATGTTATTATTAAAAAAATGAATTGTAATATATTGTTTTTCAAAATTTGGTATTATTTGATATTTATAATGAAAATAACTTGTTAAACAAATACAGTCTATGGAATCTTAAATATTCGAAATTATTCGATCTTTTTGATACATGCAACAAACGCTTAGATATTACTGATTTATTGATTATTCTAAAAAGAAGGGACAATTTTGTAGGAAATTGTTGGTCAAGTTTGTTTAAATAATAAATCGTATGCATTGAAATCTATATACGAAAAGTCAGGATAGATTTCTGATCGTTTGCTTCAATGTTTATGGGATGAGAAACATATCTGGTCAATTCGTTTCAGAATCCGAAGTTGATCAAGCCCATGTAAATGCAAATGCCTTCATTTGCAACAAAAGAACAGCCTTTGTTTGTTGGTATGTATAAATTTTGAAATATAAGTCTTTCCGTCTCATTTGACAAGTGCAACCAAATTGATTATATAAATCGGTACACTATCGTCTAAGAGATATTTTGGTTATGAAGGCTTCAGTGCGTAAGATTTCTAAGGAAATTCTGTAATTGCTGTAGGCAATTGCTGGAGTGGTGACTTTTTTAGTATTTTTTTAAAGCAACTCATTACTTATACATGCATTCGCAATACTTCCTCCCTCGGGATATTCTTCTTCTTTTTTACAAATAGGCTTGAGATATTTTCTTGATTTTTTATTATTTTCCCTTGTACCCAATTATTTGTTAACCAAAAAAATAATTACATACATTTGTTTTTGCAATCAGTTGAACTTTCTATCAAATCAATATAAAAAAAGTTTTATCGACAACTTTAGGGGTTGACGATGTAAGCAGGAGGCAATGAAGTAGGCTGTGATCGCCAAGAGAATTTAATCATATCGCCAAATCCTCTCTCTCAGTTACGTCATATCTGGCGACAACAAAATTTCTGTCGCTGGGAACAAATTCGCATTAATATTAAGTAAAAACTAAATAAAGTTACCGCAAATCTGCTTTCAGACCTGAATTTGCAAAAAAGCAGCTGCAAAAGAAAAATATAAACAATTATTAGACAATGAACTATTAATTCAAAAATTTAAGAAAATAAAAAAAAAATGAAGACATAGCTTTTCCGACCAAGTATTATTGTCGACTAAATTAGTACGATCAGCCATACCGGCAACCTGATAACCATATATTGTATAAAACTATTCAGGAGACGTACAAGGGGAGATAAATGCTTATTTTTTATACATTTATATATACAAGATTATATATTATATTTCCATAACCAAAATCCAACCAAGACATAACTCGGGCATCGTCTGCATTACTAGTTACCCATGTGCAATGTACCGCAAATGTCATTAGAATCATTGAAATTACCAATATTACGAAAGTTTTCAAATTAGAACCGATTCCTGTGCCGGTTTCGTGTTGCTGGGCATCATGTTTCGGTCGATGTTTTAATTTTCCAGCCTAAAAGTGAGAATTTTTCATATCAACGAAACAAAAATCAAATAAATTAATAAAAATTTACTTTGTCATATAAAGTTTTCTTCTCGGTAGAGTTTTCTTCATCTTCGGTGAGCGTTGTGTTTGGTTTTGTATTATCCTCACGTAAATAAACATCCAATAACGTTGAAAATGCAACGCCGGCCAACATACAAACAACCGGTGTTATAGTTAACATTAAACGCAAAATGCACTGCACTAATTGCATAAAGACAAAGACTCGTATGTCATTGATTTTGTTGATACAATACCAAACACTAACCGGAAACGAGCAGATCAAAATGTCCAGATTGAAGAAAAATGAGAACCGAGTAGTAGGTTGATGCTTCGATACGGCATCAATAATTGGTATATGGATCTTATGGTAGCCAGTGCCCCTAGAGAATAGAAGTGTCCACTCCATTGAGCAATAACTCCCAACATAGTAAGACCGACAACTGCTGTAAATACTAATGCAGCTGCCAGCTTTATCTTCATTATCCACATGGTCTTCTTCTTTTTTTTTTTTTTTTTTTTTTGTTTGTTTAGAGATGGATTGGACCAGTTAAGTTAATGTTAGATCCATAATCCAGAAACGAAGTTGAGAGCGATTGATGAAAAAATTTAAGCATAGGTGGACTGACGTGGCAGAGTGTTCGCAATGAGAGGCTCTGTTCCGCTGTCAATCCATAAATCACCGTCCTTGTTACTGTACTGTCAAGATCCGGCTAATAATGCCGATAAAAGAAAATGTGTAGGCGATTCGTGATTGTAATAGAAATACTAAATGTAAAATTAGAATGAAAACTCAGCTGATTTGATAAAGGCAGTCAGTTGCTTCAAATGCCTAAAGTTACCAGCACGAAAAATTTCATATAGATTGTTATACAGGTTAAATATACTGAAAGATTGTCTAAGGATGTCAAACCTCCTGCACTCAAAAATAAGGTGCTCGGCAGACTCAGTAATATTGCAATCCTCACAGATGTCAGAGGAGGAGACTTTGATCATTTTAAAATAGACCTTGTCGTAGGTGTGATTACTCATAAGACGGTGAAGAACTTTAAATTCCCATGTTGTGAATTTTCCTTTAGGTAGAAGCGTGGGTGTCAAAAAAGGGTAAATTTTGTAGAACAGCCGGTCACTTTTTTCTCTAGCTAAAACATGATACTCATCTTTCCATTCTTTTATGATGAGTTTTTTGACTAGCAGAAAAGCTTCGCTGGGGGGGTAGTTTATGGACAAAACTGTACCATCGAACCTAGCTTGACGAGCATGGAAGTCAGCTTTTTCATTGATACTAAGACCGCAGTGACCTGGGATCCAGATGATGTGGCATTTTTCAATACTTGGGTCTTTTAAAAGGTTGTAGATATCGAAGACATACTTATTGAATGGGTCTTTGTTCTTGATTAAAATTAGAGCAGATTTGCTGTCAGAGAAAACTACAAATTTTTTCAGCTTAATTTCAGATGCGTGGATGATTGCTTGTCTGATGGCCAGAAGTTCAATGAAAGTGGATGATAGTTCTTGTAGAACTTTAAATTTTCCTATAAGTAAGTTTGGGTATTCAATAATTGAAAAACTAGAGATGTCCGAATTGATAGATCCATCCGTTGCGTATATTTTGAAGTTATTTTCGACGAAGTGGTTAAGTTTTTGCAGACAAGCGATTCGAAGACAAGACCCTGATCGATTTTTTTTTGAGTTGGTGATTGAATTAAGTAAGTTTAATTCAACTACGCATTTATCATGAATAATATTATTCCAGGAGGGTATTGAGTTAACTTTATTGAAGATGTTACTGAATTTTTTGAAGCAGTTAGAGTAACTACTGATGACATGATTGTGTCTGGAAGCGACCTCGTCAAAGAAGGCAGATTTGAAGATTTTTACCTTGAGAAGCTCTTTTGCAGTTACAAGATAAATTCTCTTAGCAACGGGGAGTTCATAAGAGATGGAACGTAAAATTGATGTTGGTGTTGAGGGGGACAAACCGGTACAACGTCTTAGGATTGAGTGTTGAAAGGTTTGTATTTTTTTTAATGTATACGCAGGAGCGTTACACGATGTAGAGTAGGGATATTCAATTTTGGATCTAACAATAGATTTGTAAACGTTTAATGCTTTCCTAGGTGGGAGTCCGGTGTGAATGTTGGTCAGAAGTTTGATGACATTTGAGCCTGTGTTGCAATTTTCGAGGCTATCCTTGTAATGCTCATGCGTGGTTAAACTTGAGTTGATTATTCTGCCCAAAAATTTAAAAGAGGAAGACGGACTGATTTTTATACCATTGATTGTAATGTAAAAAATTTTTTTGGGACCCTTAGCAAAGCGAACGACTTTTGATTTTTCCGGGTTGAAAGTTAGATTTAAGTCTGCACAAAGTTTGTGAAAAAGATTGGCTTTAGTGTCGAGGTTACGGACTGCTTCCATTAATGATTTTCCAACAGAGATGATGAGGAAATCGTCAGCATATTGAAATAAATGGGTAGAATTGTCCTGTAATTGATGTAAACCGGCTGTGTATAAATTGAAGAGAACTGGGCTGAGACAGCTACCTTGAGGTAAGCCTCCACAAACTTCGACTGTATGTGAATCTAATACGAGAGTTCTCGAGGAAAGAAAGTTGAGAACCCAATGCCTATTTTGTGTCGGGATTTTAAAATCAGATAGAATTTGGTCCAGTTTCGCTAAGTTTACACAGTCGTAAGCTTTATTAATGTCTAAGCAAAGCATGACTACCTGGTTCCCATTTGCTTTTTCATTTGCAATTGTGAAAAGGACTTCATTAAGGCACATACCGGTGGAGATATTTTTTTGGTAAGCAAAGGACCTTGACGGGAGAAGGTGTGAGTGATTCAGGAATTTTGTTAGTCTTTCTTTAATCATTTGGTTGGTAATTTTTAGAAGAACAGGCAAGAGGAATATGGGTCTGATGTTGGTGAATATTTCAAGATCTTTTCCGGGTTTAGGAATGGGCACTATTTTAATTGTACGCCAAACGGTGGGAAACGAGTTGGTCATCCAGCGCTCATTTATAGCAGATAGCAGGGTTAGAAGGCTTGGCATGGGAAGGACCTTTATCATTTCATATTTGATTCCGTCATGGCCTGCTGCTGTGGACTTCTTTTTCGACTTAAGGACGTGCATGAGTTCATCAAGGGAGAATGGAGAGATGTTTTCCATCCGAGAGTTAAGTAAGGAAGTTTGGAGACCACATGTCGAGGGAACTTGAGCTTTCAGCCATTCAAGGTAGGATTTGTTGTTGAGATCATCCCAAATGGGGTGCTTGTATTTCTTTTTTGTGGTGCGATGACCATTTAAAAATTTCCAGAATGGCTTTGTATTGCTATTTGAGCGTAGTTCTTCGATAACGAGGGCTCGATGGCATCTTTTGGCTTTTCTAGTTGATTTCTTCCATTCTTTTTGTGATAACTTGAAATCTTCAAAATTAGAAATATTGGGGTATTTGGAAAATTTTTGTTTAGCAGCCTGTAATCTACGGAATTGTGAAGTGAGCAGCTCGTTCCACCAAGGCTTTGGTGAGTAGGAATTCGAGATTTGGATGTCGGATTTGGCGTTAATTATTTCTTGTTGAAATGAGCACTGGATAGATTCGACCTGTGGCTCAAGACATACGTGAATAAGATTATTTAGGAGTTTTTTCCTCGAGATAAAGTCATTTATCTTGTACGAGGTAATAGAGGTGGCATTAAAGAGAATAGGAAGGTGGTGGCTATTTCCCAGGAAAATTTCTTTTTTAACCTCCCGTTTGAATGTGAGATGGGTTGCGTTAGTGAAAGTAAGATCCAACACGCTACCACAATTGTTGGTCGTAGAGTGAAAATAGGTTGGTGAATTATCATTCAGACAATAGAAGTTACTAGCTTTAATGATTTCTTGCAAGGCTTTGCATTTATTGTTTGACACGGAGTCACCAAAGCAAGGGTGTCTTGCATTGAAATCTCCTGCAATTATGACATTGTGGAAACTATTGAGCATATCACTGAGACGATTAAAGTCATCCCGGAAAGATTGAATGGGGATGTTGGCCTGAAATAGCAAGCAGCAATGACGATATTAGGTTTTAGACAAGAGGTTTTGATAATGACTATGTCAGCAGTCGATTTAAATGGGATTTGTTTGAAGGATATGCCTTTTCTGGCAAGGATGGCAACACCTCCATAGCCGTCACTTCTACATTTATAAGCGGAGTTGTAATTTGAGATTTTGAGATCGGAAATTTTTTCATCAGACAGAAAGATTTCACTCAAGATGGCGAAATCAGTACGGTTGGAATTTATGAAAAAATCAAGAGAATGGGCATTACGCCTGAAGCTTTGTATGTTATACTGTAGGAAGGACGTCATGAGAAATGTTAGAACATGATAGGGCCGACCCAGATGTACCTTGTTTTAAAAGATCAAATTTTGATTTAAGGGAACTTATTTCTGTTTGGATGGTTTTAAGCATGTCTTCTTGAGAAGAGATGGAGAGAATCCTGAAAATCTTTTCCAGAATTATCTCCATTTCAGTGGATTTATGGTTATTGACGAAAGTATGCTTTTCAGGGGGCGGGGTAGGTCTTTTTGGCTCCTGCGACTTGTTACTGTGAGTCGAGGGCGTCTTGAGAGACATTCTGTGCAAGGACTTGGGAATACTTGTTTTATTTTTTAAAACTGCATTGAAGTTTTTGTTAATTAAAATATTATTTGTATCAATAGTAGGGTCTCTGATATTGTTAGGAGCATTGCTGTCCTTCATTGCTGGGAAGTTTACGTCATAGTTTTCAAGTAAATTGTATGGGTTGTTAGAGAATTTCTCTTTGTATTCTCTAAAAGATAAATTCTGGATGGTTAAAATTTTTTTTAAATTTTCCTCTTTCTTTCTTTTTGGACACTCTCGAAATGTTACGTTGTGGTCCAGCGACCCGCAACCTAGACATTTGATTGAGAGGCATGAGTCCTTAGGACAGGCCGGTGACTTGCCACAGTTCAGGCATCTGCTTTCCTTACTTTTGCAGAATTTGGCGATGTGACCAAATCGGCCGCAATTATAGCAGAGCCTGACGGAAGGAATGAAGTAGTCAACTGGAATATTGCAATAGTTGAATTTTATACTCTTGGGAATTAGTTTACCCTTGAAACCAATTTTTAGGCTGTTTGTTGGGATGAACATTTCTCTGTCTGCAGGGTCTCTTCTGAGGATTCTTGTAACAGAAATGATTTCAATATCAGAGGTAGCTGAGTTGAGAAAGTCCTCTTCCTTAATTGAAGGTGGAATGTTTTTTACGATCCCAAATTTTTCTGTGAAAATTCTAGGGATGTAGGCCTTGCAAGACTTTGGACCAAAATCATTGTTTATTATGAAGTTGTTGGCATCAACCGCAGTAGCAAAACCAAGTTTGGCTTTGTTATTGCTGATGGTTTTGATATTAATCAAACCATCCAATTTGAGATCTTTGATGTGTTCGAAAAAAAATAAATCTGAGTTAAGGCGAAAAGGTTTCTCTAGGTTATTGTTGCATACTTCAATGA